CGACCATTTTTACGAGAAGATGAAGGTCAAGAGTATAAGAGAATGATTTGAATCACAAAGGTACTCTAGCCACCGCGAATGTTTGGCTTGTGCAGCATTTAGGCAGGAAATGTGGGCAAATTATCGGTGAACTTTTCATTCTCGTTCACACGAATACACATTCAGTATTAATATGCATGATCACCATCATGACGTGCGGCATGAAAGCAAGATCACGTTGTTGATGGCAAGAAGGCTGGCTTATTCTATTCATATTCATGCAAAGATGATCGATCTTGTTCACGTGACTCTTTTAGCTTTCGGCCCTCACTCCGAATAAAAAAGGGCCCCACGTTACCGGTAATCACGTTGCACCTTTGAACCGGAAAAACCCACTGGCGATGCGCATAAGCCGTTGGATGTATGTCGGTAAGCAAATTTGTGGCTATCTGATGAAGTAAGGGGGAAATAACACAGTTCCAATGCCTTCAACGACATAACCATTCATCATTCACTTTTTTCCTCCTTTCCATCATCTAAATTACGCACAAAATGGTACCTCGAATTAGTACGCCTCTTACCGAAGCATTCGGCATCGAAAAGCCAATCATGTTGGCAGGCATGAATGTTGCCGCAAGTCCTGAATTAGCAGCAGCAGTGACCAATGCAGGCGGTTTGGGCGTTTTTGGTGGTGTAACGTTTACACCAAAGATCTTTCGATCGAAATTAGAAGAATTGAAGGAGAATTTAAAGGATAAAAATGCTCCTTTCGGTGTCGATCTCTTGTTGCCACAAGTTGGTGGAAACGCAAGAAAAACAAATTATGATTATACCAAGGGTCATTTAGCTGAATTGGTCGATATTACGATCGAATTTGGAGCAAAATTATTCGTTTCTGCTGTTGGTGTACCGCCACAATGGGTTGTGGAAAAGTTACACAAGAATGGAATCTATGTTGCCGGCATCATTGGTCATCCAAAACACGTTCAAGGTGTGTTAAAAGCAGGTTCGGATATGATTATTTATCAAGGTGGCGAAGCTGGCGGTCACACAGGCGATGTCCCTCTTTCGGTTTTAGGACCAAGAGTTGTCGATTTGTGTAAAGGTCATACATCTCCTTTGACGGGTAAACCAATCTTGACAATCGCAGCAGGCGGAATCTGGCGTGGAAAGTCATTGGCAGCTTCATTGATGTACGGATCAGATGGTGTTTGGGTCGGAACACGATTCGTCGCTTGTACGGAATCAGGAGCTCCAAAATCTCACAAAGAGAGCGTTTTAAGCGCAAATCATGAATCCGACGCACGTACGATCATCTTTACCGGTAGACCATTGCGTGTAAAGACGAGCGATTATATCAAAAAATGGGAAGAGCAACCGCAAAAGATCAAAGAATTAACATCAAAAGGTATCATTCCATACCAATACGACGTGGAAAAAGACCAAGTAGACGAATCCGTTTGGCCTCATTTGATGGGCAAATGCGCCGCTGTGATTGATGACATCAAGCCTGCCGCAGAAATTATGGACGATTTTATGGTTGAAGCCGTTGATGCTTTGCAACAAGGCCATAAGTACGTCCAAGGCCAAGCAAGATTGTAGAAATTCAACATTTGTAGCGGCAACTTGAATATGACTGAAAAGGAAGACTTGTCTTCACTTTGTTTTGACCGATTAATATATTTCATATCTTTGTTTTGACCGATTAATATATCTCATCAAACGGTCGGGTATCGTTGAAGCAGCTTTCGAAAACTTCATCTACAATTCGCTCTGCCGTTCCTTCATCCGGACAATCTGGGTTACTGACCATAGAAACAATCGCTCGCCTTCTTGCGCACGTTTGATGATGCTTTCGTACTCCGAACTTTCCCCTGAGTAATTCGTTGAAGAATCTGCAATCGCCTGAAAGAGAGGCTGCACGTATTTCACTACACGCAACATGTCGTAAATTTGACCAATCTGCTTTGAATCGACAATGATCGAACCAATGAATCAATTCATGCGCCATAGTTTGCTCCATATGCGATTTGCTTTTGATCCTATTGTAGCAGATTAATAAACCAGATCTCGATTTTGGTTCACCCGGCTGAGAAGGTCTAAAACCACCGGCTATATCACCTGAGCATTTCCCAAAAAAAATCTTGTCAACAAATCCATCTTGATCAAAAGGTGAGCAACCAACAACGCTCAAATGCTTGATCATAAATCGAATCATAGGACTATATCTGATCAATCTGTCCATGTATTTTTCACTCCTTTCCCTTTGCGATTTATCCAGATCTGATTCCTGCACTGGATCCATGCTGGCTAAAAGATCGTCAAAGATACCTATTTTGCCTTTTGAATCTGTAGCAGTATCTATTGACCTAGAAGAAGTAAACTGTTCGCCTTTCAAATCGTATTTATCATTCTTGCTCCACCATCCCCAAATCCAATTTTTAGTCTTGATTTGATCTTTGCTTTCGCTCTTTGTTTCCACGATTGAATTTAAAAGAACACGATCATTTGCTCTCAATGCTTGATGGATGTCGAAAAGCGGTCGAGGCTGCAATGCAGATTCACATTTCCGTAGCCATTTGGTGAAGCAAGGAGATACGATGGTGTATTGACTTATCTCTGAATTTAAATCGGCTTTCATTGTTGCTATGGAGGTTGTAAAGATGACTTGCAAAAATGGTTCAAGGTCATCCATCCATCTTTCTTCCAAAATTTTCAAGTGCCAAAGTGCCCGATTTCCGAGCATTACGAAGTAATCTATAGCGGGGGGGACCTCTGCACTTGCCAAGTTGGCCGATATACATTAGGTAGGCCATTCAATGTACGCCGACCGCATTCTCATCGTGTTGGGCTTTAATGCGGCGGCGGCGTTGGGTTAATCAAAGGTTTGCATGAATGAATGTCGTGCGAGAGGAAAGAGTAAACATACTGATAAAGTGCTATATTGTTAAAAATACAATAAGAATGCTCGCACATGAAGCTAGTGTATGTGCGTGTACCTTGGCAAGAAAGACATCCCGATAGGCACTTTTACAGTCAAACAGGGAAAACGATTTCATTCTTCCTATCTCGCTCACCATCATCATTCTTTATCGAATGTCTTTCCGATTCATCCTTTCCAATCCCTCTTTAAACACTGCTATTCGATTTCGAAGTCGTATCGTACATCTTTCATCTATCCAACAAGCTCAATCAAGATTCATTTCACGTTCTTTCATCTCTAGCACGATTAAAATGTCAAACAATTCAGTAACAAAACTTTCACCTCAAGAAGTTTTAAAGCGAAACGGAGAATGGCAACAAGAAGCAATTCAAGTTGATAAAGATCTTTTTACTGCAAACGCCGCCGGTCAAAGTCCTCCAATCTTATGGGTTGGCTGCTCGGATTCTCGTGTACCGGAAAGCGTTGTTTGTCACGTAAAGCCAGGAGATATGTTTGTCCATCGTAATATCGCCAATCAATTCAACGAAGATGATGATAGCGCAAATAGCGTTTTAACATACGGTGTAGAAGCATTAGGCGTCGAACATGTTATCATCGTTGGTCATACTTCTTGTGGTGGTGTTTTGGCTTCTTTATCGGGCGCAAAAGGGGAGATTTTACCAGAAAGTCAATCTTTGCAACGTTATTTGACGCCATTGGTAAAGCTTTGCGGATCCGTTCGAGACTCTATGGGATTGCAACAAGGTCAAGATCCAAAGGACGACAGTACACGGGATGAATTATTGAAAAGAGCAACGGAAGAAAATGTCAAAGAACAAGTTCGTAAAGTGGCCGATTCCAAAATCATTCAAGCAAATTGGGCAGGTAAACGAACAGCATTCCCCGGTCAACCGAAAGCAAAGATCCAGATTCATGGGTGAGTTTATAAGATACAGAGAAGGTGGAAAAGATTTGGCAAAGATGACTGATTTTGATTTTCCTCCATCGTTTGTCAATTTGTAGCTGGATTCATGATATCTCAAACGGCAAACTCCGTGATCTCGGTGTTACGATTAAAGCACCAGGTGAGAAATAAATACTTCTTAGCATGAAGCAGCAATTCCTCTGTACAGACCATTATCCTCATCTAGAAGTACCGGCTCAGACGAAAGGGTAGAATTGTTTAACGATGATGATCATTGATACATGAATTGTGCTGCTGTACAGTGAATGATGAGTAGAAAAAGAGAAGATTGAGCAAATCGATAGCGAATTAAAGAAAGCATTTAGCATTCTAAAAGCGTGCGAACCATATCAGCATCATGGCCTTGTGCTCCAATCGTATAACGAACTTGACTGGTTTGTAAGCCATTAAAGCCAGAAGCGGCGCAAATGGTGTATGCACCCATGTTCTCGTATAACAACCAATCGGATACCTGAAGTTGATTCGGCAAATACGTCATCGGTCGTACGCAATCAATCGAATCACAGGTAGGACCCCAAATGCTGCATGCCTGTAGTTTTTGATGCTCAACACCGGGTGCAGGCAAATCAGGACGATAAGCGAATTGACGTTGCAATGTCAACACTTTTGGTTGTACGATTTGATGATCAAAAAGGATGCAGTTAAAAGCGCCATAAACACCGTCATTTTGATAGTACATCACTTGTGGCTTATCATCGGTTGTCACGCTTGACGTCAAAGCTGCATCAGAGATTTGCAATGGGTTCGATTCTTGTGCCGTTTCTGCATCACTGGTTCCATCACGTCTTGCAATGATATTGGCCGCTAGAACAAAGGCTTTCTGAACGTAATAACGTCCTGGTTCTCCAATGATTCGCAATCCGTCTGGGCAAAGTCGACCTCCAGGTGCGAAATCAACATCAGGGAAGAAGTCATCCAACGCTGTACGCAAAACCTTTGCGATTAATTCGAAATTTTCGTGTGCATAACCTCCTCCAACATCCAAGAAGTCTAGAGAATAACCTGCTTCTGAAGCCATATCAAAAGCATCGCGCGCCCTTTGAACGGCATCGCGAAAGCTATTTGCATCATAACAGCCACTACCAACGTGAAAGCTGACTCCTACGACGTCCAAATTCAATTCTCGAGCTCGTTGCAACAGCTTAGGCACAACCTGCATTGGTGCACCGAATTTGAGTCCTAATTGACATACACTCTTGCTATCGTCAGTCAGGATACGAATGACCAGCTTTGCAGTAGGATGGAATTTTTTGATCTTATCCAATTCGTCAAGGTTGTCAAATGTTGTAAGTTTAACGCCTTGTTTGGCAGCATTGCGAACGAAAGAAGCGGCCTTGCATGGATTGGCATAGATGATTCTATCGGGATGAATTCCCATTTGCAAGACCGATTGAATTTCTCCATTGGACGCACAATCGAAACCGGTACCCAAAGAAGCCAAAAGGCGCAAGATGTACGGATCAGGATTGCATTTGACAGCGTAAAAAGGCACCACTCTGGGTAATTCTCGCATCCAACGTAAATGTTGACGATATACTTCTGCCATATCAGCGATGAAGAAAGCATTTTCTCCATTTGCGGCGCATTCATCAACATTGATTTGTGTAAGTACTTTGTGCAATTGTTCGCTTACTGAACCGGAATAGATGGGCTCATCTCCATCCTCTGGCCAGAAATGAGCTAAGTGAGGTCCAATTTTGCTTGAAGATTGTTCATTTAACGATACCGAAGAGCTAGAAGAAGCCGAAGAAATATCGCGAACATGCGAAGATGAAGAGGCGTATCCTGAGCGATCAAGAGAAGAGCATCTTGACATTTTCGGAGATGATGGAGCTGTCAGAGGAGGTGAAAATGCAAGAGAAGGATGAACACTCATTTTTGTCGGCTTTGCAGTGAAGACAAAGAGTCTAATATGCTAATGCTTGACTTGTGTGAATTGCACCTTGTCGCTGATCGTAATTGTGAGCGTTAGATGTACACCTTTTTAGCATTCACTGTTATACTATTATATCGGTCAATTGGCTTGATCGATCAGAGAAGCGTATTGAGAAAACAGAAAATCGAACTTGATGATAGGAAGGTGAAAGAGTTGTTGAAGGATGATGAAAGAGTTGGCAATGAATTCAACTTGTTCTTATATGCTAATCTTCTTCTATAATGCATGTGTGAAATTTTGTATTAATAGAATGCGCGTGCAATTAGTTTTTATATTTCCTCGGCTTCTTCGCCGCAATAAAATCTATATTTTATATAATGTACATTTACTACTGTATTCAGGTATATAAACAACAGCCATCGGAAAACGCGAACTAATGAATTGTACATTTGCAGCAATCATAACTTCCTCCTCCTAAAAATGGATTCTTGATCTTCACTACATTCCATTGGGTACCGGGCATTCTTTCTTTTTCTATTGCCCTTTGCCCCCCCTTTCAAAGGTAGATGCTCCTAAACCAATTTAAAAAAAGATTTCTTTTTCGTGGTTAGAACTCCTTTGGTCATAGGGTGAGAATACCCTAGGCCCTGGTCCTTTTAAACACAAACCCGCGGCCCAAAGGTGCAATGAATAAATTAAGATTATGAAGTCATCATGCTTTCACCGCACGCGTATCCCCTTCTTTTGAGCGCACGCACGCAATTTTTACTCGCTTCCCACATCCTACCTTTGTTCACAATGACATAAGAGCAATGAAGATCTGGCCAAGCAACGCCCGATATATGTAGTCAGTTATCAGTCAAACAATCTTACCATGAGAGAAATCATATCGTGGTAAGCAGGATATGATTCGATCGTTAATATTGCCAACCTCATCTGAACCTCTAAGCAAAAATTTTCGTCAGCCTAGCTTGTTGGGCGGCAAGGAACTGACGATAATCGATGATTTTATTGGATCGTTTGTGCAAATAAGAAGTTGATGTCGAATGAATAGTTTATTGATCGTGAAGAAATATCATACAATTGCTCTCTGCTGTACCGGCCCGCCATTGCGTCCAACTATAAATTGCTTCGGTTTCCGCTCTCCTTTCATCACCATTCGCTTTGACAATACGTCATCTTCCCGATCCCTCTTTCTTCGAATCGCAAGTACTTTGCGCCATTGATCCTTCGCTCTTGCAGTTTGCAATCCTTGCCTTCCTATCCTTGCCTCTAATCGTAATCTGCGAACATCTGATCGAATTCTAGGTGCATCACGGGCATACATCTCCCAAGCCAAAGAATACATATCACCGGTCGCTGGATATGGTGATGGAATGTCGGTATTATACAGAACTCGCTGCCCTGCGCCGGCGGGTGTGATTGTTGGATGACGGATGTATACGGCTGAACAAGTCGTAAAAGAAACTTCCAAATAAGGCGGAACAAACAAAAAAGGTGCAGCAAACGAAGGCAGGTTGAAAGGCAAAACGCCTGGTAAGAGTACATCCTTGTCCCGCTTCTCTTCCGCATTTCCCTTACCGTTGATTGTAGAAGGCTTCAGAGATGCTTCTGAAGATCGGATCGAATTCGTCGTTTCGGGAATGGGAGTTTCTGTTGTTCTGTCGTGGGCTTGATTGTCTTCTATCGTTGCTTGATCTGCTGTTGAAGTAGATGTTGCGCTTTCCGATTCTTCCAATTCCGTCGTTGTTGCACTTTTTCTCGTATTCAAGGCAAAATCGGCAGCCTTTTGTTCGTCAGCTCTTCTTGCTAGATCTTTTGAGAGCATTGGTACAGCACCTGGCTCAACGGAAAGCAAATCACCCGGATTCAGCAAAGTTCCCGCAACTGTAGTTTGTATCCCATTTAGTTTCACCTTCCCGTGTACAATCAATGCACGAGCTTCACGGGCGCTCCTGGCAAAACAACAACGATGAACGACAGTATCCAGTCTCCTCTCAACGTCACGCAAGAACAAAGTGATCACCGGCAAACGTTCTTGTTCTGTCATTCCCCTTTCGGTGGAAGAGGAGGCTAATGATTGACCTTGCATTCCTAAACGTGGAACAGAAGTGGGCAAGTACCATCGCCTGAACCGTCTCTCACCAATCCAATCACCATGATATCCTCGCAAAAATCTTTTCGATCTCCATCTCTGTTGAAACATTGTCAAAGATACCTGCTTGAAGGAAATTTGACTCACGTTTGGTGGGACGGTAGATCGGGAGATGAGATTATATAAGTTATGCGGTGACCATGACATACGAGGTATGATTCCTTGCTTATCGTGTGCAAATAGCCTCAGTGGCTTACGCATTTTAGGCGAGATTGATTTGTGATGGAAAGCGAATAAAAGTGACGATGTTGATAGTGATGGGAAGAAGGGAAAGTACTTTCTTCCTTCACGCTTTACCCAAAAAAAAGCGCAAGTCAAATCTCACGTGCGCGGCGTACGCTTCTAGGTGCAAAAGATATTCGGTGTATGAATATCATCAGACCAACACTGGTAGCGCACTCTCCAGAAGCTGAAACAACAACACCATTAGCAACCATGTAATGGAATGCAATCGTGGTAACAATGAGTTTGACATCACGACAAACAAATTTTTCAGCTGCCGGACAAACGGCTACAAGTATAGAGACATGTATTGCAAGTGTTGAATTTGCATGTAGAACGGTAAGTGTTGAATTGAAAAGCGAAGAATGAAGAACAAAAAAATGTAACCTGGCTTCGTCATCGTTTGATTTTCCTATTCTATTCATAGCTCGAAGCAAGCAATGCAACATTGACGGATGAGACGAAGGATCTTGCAAGACTTGCTAATGCCGTACGATCGAAGCGATATTTTGACTTGATCTCTGAACGGGAAATCAAAGATGCACAAGATCATTTGAGCGTAGAAATTCTACCTCAATTGAAAGAACTTATTCTTAAAGCGGAAGAGGCTTTGCAAAAAGATGAAAGAAGGGCAAAAATCCTTCGTGGAAAGGTGAGTGAAGTAATTCCATCGCTCGTTTTGCAGGCAAGCTTGCTGATCCGCTTCTACTATCTTTGAAGTCCGCCCAACAATCCACAAGGTTGGAACAATTTGCCCAATTATATGATGTTTCAATCGATAAAATACGTAAACTCTCGGACGAATCCAAAAACAATGAAGTCATCGGATCGAATGAAAATCAAAAGAACAAAGCCGAAAAGATGAACCAGCACTTGACTTCATTGCGAGAAAAACGCATCACTCTTCAAAGAGAGATGGCAAAGATGGAAAGAGAAGTAAGGCAAAAAGGACACGCAGTTCAGTGACATACATGAGATTAATTGTACACTATCAAATGATGTTTTTTTAATAGATGTAATACTAGAATGATTGATCGTGATCACCAAGTCGATCCCAAATGCATATAGCCGGGTTGGTTGATGCGCAGCGCTGCGCATGCGACGCGTATAATGTACGCGTATGAATGTCGAGACGCGTCTTGCATCTTCTCATAATTACAATCCATCATTAACACTTCCATCCTTTTTCTTTGGCTGACAGGATGTTGTACGTTGACAAATATCGACCTAAATCTCTCTCAGAGTTACACTATCATGCCGGATTGAGCGAACGTTTGACGTCTCTTGCATCTCATGAGGACTTTCCTCATATGCTCTTTTTCGGTCCAAGTGGAGCAGGAAAGAAGACGAGAATCATGTGTTTGTTAAAAGAGTTGTATGGAAATGGAGCTCAACGATTAAAGATCGATCAAAGAATCTTTCTCAATCCCAGTAGGAGAAAGATTGAAGTGAACATTGTGACGAGCAATTATCATATCGAATTAACACCTAGCGATGCGGGAGGATACGATCGTTTAGTCATTCAAGATATCCTCAAGGAAATTGCACAAACACAACAAGTAGACCAAAATGCAAAACATCGATTCAAATTGGTCATCATTCACGAAGCAGATGCTCTTTCAAGAGACGCACAATCAGCCTTACGCAGAACAATGGAAAAGTACATGTCAAATATGCGTTTAATCTTGTGTGCAACCAGTACGTCAAGAATTATTGCACCAATCCGTTCAAGATGTCTTTTGATGCGTGTAGGAGCGCCTAATGAGGGAGAGATGACAGCAGTGTTGAAGCATGTTGCAAAGAAGGAGAAATTCCACCTACCGGATGAGATCTCATCACAGATCTATCGTGAAACGAACGGCAACCTTCGTAAAGCGATCCTTGTCTTGGAAGCACTGAGGATGCAAACTTCCGATTTAAGCGGCTCGATTTCGATCGCAAAGCCAGATTGGGAACTTTTTGTTGGCAAGACGGCAGACGCAATCATCTCGGAACAATCGCCTGAACGTCTCTTTTTTGTGCGCGGAAAATTGTATGAATTATTGGTTCATGCTATTCCACCAAGAGTGATTATTAAAACTCTCACCGATCGACTTGTGGAACGATGCGACGAAGATTTACGTGGAGCGATTGTAGAAAAAGCGGCATTTTACGAACTTCGCTGTCGTCAGGGAAACAAAGCGATCTTTCATCTTGAAGCCTTTGTTGCCCAAGTAATGGCGATGACAAAGAGCTCTTTCGAGGGAATGGAATGGGAATGAGTTCTTCTCTGATATCAGGTTTTCCAAACGTCATACTTTGTAATATAATAGATATACATTATCATGAGAGATCTTGAATCTGAGACATTCATGCGATGTAAGAGTCCGCCTATTCGTATAAAGAGGTATAGAAAAGAGCATGCATTAATGGTCATTCAGATATTGTTCGAAAGCTCCACGTCTCGTGACCATTTCGCTCTTGTCACTTTGATCACCTGGACTGTACACATGGACAAAGAGTTATACAACCCAGCAGCCAACGGGTCGATCCAGGGTAAGTCAAAGGTATGTACTGCATACAAGCTTTGCCTGTTCTGATTATATAACATTCTTGTCC